AAAAAAAAAACAAGAAAAAAGAAACAATGGAAACTGAAAAAGAAGAAAAAAAAGCACCACATAAACAACAACAACAACAACAACAACAACAAAACAAAAGAAAAGAGCGAAGAGATTAGGAACAGAAACGGCATCCCAAAAACAACCCTTCCACACCCGAGCAGAGAGCAACATAGATTAAGCGGAGTCTGCGATTCCAAGCATTCCTGAACCTTCGAAATGCAACGGGAATCTTCGGAATGGTAATGGGAATCACGTATCCGAATTTTAGAGATATCTATTGATGATTTTTATCTCTATTTTCATTATTATTATGATCAGTATCGTTAGTCTTGTTGTTTTTGTCATGTTTATTTTTGGTGCTTTTATCGTTACTATCATTATTATCAATGTTATCATTGTTATTATTATTATCACAATTATTATTATCATTGTCATCATCATCATCATTATTATTAATTCAATTATCATTATCATCATTATTATAATCATAATTATCATTTCTATAGTCATTATTACCATTATTATCATCATAATTACTAATATCCTCTTATCATCTTTATTATTACTACTATTTTTGTCACCTTTATTATTATTACTTTTTGTTCACCTTTATTATCATTACTATTATTTTCTTATCTTCATTAGCATTATCCTCCTCCTCCTCCTTCTCCTCCTCCTCATCATCATTACCATTATTATATTTTTTGGAGAAATTAGTCGTTCCATGTGAACAGCAAAGGGAAATGATGTGTTCACTTTTCGGGAAAAAAAGGACGTGGCGAGTGTTTATTTGTGTTTGTAGTGGTCAGGAAGGAGGGGGTAGGGGGGTAGGTAGACGGGGACGGGGGTAGGCGGGGGTAGGGGGGAAGGGGAGGGTGGGGGTAGGAGAGGGGAAGTTCACCTCCTACCGTCCCCCAGCTCCTATCTTCGGGGAGGAGGTAGTTATATTGGGATGGGATGTCATTTTTCAAGAGTGATTTAATGCATTCATTGCAGGTCGAATATTTTCTTTAAACTGGTTACACTGTGATTAGATTTTTTTTTTTCTATTTTACCCTTTCTCATCTAGATAATTATGATACCTTTATATGGTAAAAAAAAAAAACAAAAAAACAGGTAATTGATGTATTGTTAAATTCTTATTTATGCTCCTTACATAAATCGATTATATGCTAAGCAATGTTTTATTTTTGTAGATAATTTTACTCTTTGGCTTTTTAAATTATCCTTTCCATATTTAATGATTTATTCTATTCATTGACTGATTAATTAA